ATTGATTAAAGTTTATTATTATAAGAATTTATCATGGTAGCCATCTTTAATTTTAAAGGTCAACAGCTATGCCTAGTGGATTTCAAAATGACGAATTTAGGTTTCTTTTTCAAATAACGCGAGGGGTCTTCCTGTAACATTTATCGACACACATAGAATTACGTAGAAGCGGAAATTAAAAAGTAAGTTAATTTAAGAGTCGGCCATCGTATAACGAAATTAAATATCATATTTAGGTCTGATCACGAAAATGGGTATTTCATAGCAATTAGAAGCTGGAATTGGGACACCACGTCACAGAATAATAGCGGCCACAGTTCATTTCAAGATGGCGCCTTGTCTTGCTAATGCTAGGTTCGCACTGTCGTGCAATGTGTTACGATATAGGATTGTCCCGATTGAGTCCACGATCTGGTACGTGCAGATAAGTTCCGGTACGTTTCAATACGATCAACACGATGGCCATTGTAGCACCATAGGTCCTTTGTCTAACGTGGAGAGCGGATTAAGGGAACCGACCGCCACATCCTACGTACGACCCATGCATCTTTTCTTACTACATATTTCTGTAGCCTTGTGATCGTCTAGAATTTGTCTCTAGCTGTCTTTACTTCTGCTTCACGTTGTGTATTTACTTCTTACAGTTTCTTAAGACGTCTATCTTACCAGGAATAACAATGCGACAGTTTGCTTCTACATATTTTATATATATCTATAGCTGAATACAGGTATACAAGCATAATAGATAACAATACTAGCTAAAACCATTTCTCTACCCTAGCCAGCCTCGCGACTGTCTAGGAACTCAGATGTAAGCTCTCTGGAACCTAATAGAAGTCTGGCGAATTCTCACCAGTATCCTAATTTTGTATCTACTGGTTTTGGACATTCAATTATCCAATTGGTCAAATATGATGTAAATAATTATAGAGATTGGTTAATTGAGCCCAATGACGTCGACAACCCACCCTTATATGGTGGAATGGAATTTTACTGAAGAATATTCTCATGAGATATCTGTTAACATGTTGATGACATAGAACCAGTTACGTTATGGCTCTACAAGTGTTTTTTATCACAATATGTCATTCAAACCCTAAGTTGATTTAAGTATTTTAAGAACATATCACATATTATGCGAATATGTTATTTCTCGAGCAAAAATTCTACTAAAAGTATTACACCATTACTGACCTCAATATATGATAAGACCTGATAGGATCACCACGATTACTCCACCATTTCAATCGTGGTTTTAATCGTAGCGTGAATCGTGATAGTGGGAATCGAGCATTACGAATGTAGTGTATCATCCTAATGATTGGATTTGTGTACAATATACTTAATTGACTTCTTTTGTGCTAAAATTGGAGGCTGGTCATAGTTGGAAATATTGATATGTGCCATAAAATGTAATTGAAATGTAATTGACCATTTACATGATTGATAATTGGAATGTAATTAATTACATTTCCATTAGTCATTACTTTTGAAATATTTCATTATGTATTACATGACCATTACGTAAAAAATGTAATGGTTACATTACATTAGCATTACCCCAGCCCTGCTACGCGTGATACTATACCGTGTCAAATTGCATACTTCCTCCCAAACATCCTCTTTAAAGAGGAAGATAAGCGACGCAATCTAATTAAAAAAGAATACTTCCTTCCAAAATCTGCGCAATTATAGAAACCCAATAAGAAAGCTGCACCAATCAGTTGATTAGAAATTTAGGTTAGTAGTTTGATCAGGCCCCGAGTTTACAATAGTTTTATAAAGGGCTATATTTGAGTTAAAATAAGGTAAACAATTTTGAGTAAATTCTTAAGCATGAGAATTCTTTGTGAACCAAATACAGCCCTTCATAAAACTATTGTTGTTTTATTGTATCAAATACATCAACCATGTACAAAGTTTTATGTTTCTGGATCAAAGATATTTGTCATAAACAGTGATTGAAAGTTGAACAGGAACCTGGACATCATTAATCGCCTTATGAGAGAGAGGGAGAGAAAGAGGAGAGAGAGAGAGAGAGAGATGGGGTTTAACGTCCACTCGACACAAACTAGGTCATTTCGGGACTAACATATGGTTTGATTTTATTTCAATAATTCGCTTGCGCATAGGGGTCTTTATCAGTGTGAGGAAACCGGAGGACCCGGAGAAAACCCACGAGGTTGGACGGGCGACCCTACTCCTTGTCACGTACAACCGGGGATTCGAAACCACGCCAGTCGACTCAATGACAGACTTTATGATACAGCGCGCGCACGCTAACCATTCAGCCATCCAACCCCCCCCCCCCTATCGCCTTATGAAGAAATGGTTTTATAGAACGCTAGAACTGAGGATTAGGGTAAGAGCTAGGCTTTGTCCAGGATTAGGATTAGGCTTTGTCCAAGGTGTTAGAGCTAGCCCTGTTTGCATCTCGAATCTTTGACGAAATCTGTAGGTCCTAACCTTTACCCTAATCCACATATGACGTCAGATGTGCTAAAATGTGCAGGGCCGTCTCCGATCTAGCGTTCTTCGATAAAGTCGAGTAAACAACAGAAAAATAAAACGGAACGAAATATTGGTATAATTTTGAATTAGAACTGTGACAGATGCCGAGAAATGAAGCATAGATCATGAAAGACAGGTTGAACAATTCATTTCTTGAAACTCCAACCTGCACTACGTTCGATCCATGTGTAGTACTATCGGACTTCCTTGTTGTGTTTGTTTTCTTCGTGATCGTAATAAAACTACAGGTTAAATGGTTCTTACAACTTTATTGTTAAGCTGGAATGGCTTTGAAGGTTCCTCGTTCTCAATAATAATAGCTGCTTGGAATACCTGTGTGAGCTCTGCCCAGTCTCGCTCAACACCCTCTTTTATAACCCCCTAATTTCTGCCTGTCTTAGATTAGCCTTGACGTTAATTTTCATCCCAAATATGGAATAAAACCTCTGTATTTCACAAGACCAGAGGGGAAACATTACCTTATTTGGTCTACCAACCATAGGTCAATAAACAGATAGAATTTGATGAATATTTCGACAATGGTTATGATTTTACCAAAATATCACTGTTTTTATGTATAAATATATATTCACATTCATTAAAGGGACAATAACACTCTTGCTGGCTTGACAGCCCCAGAAAATAAAAAATAGCCTTAATCTAAGTACTAGATGTGTTAGTGTCCTACCTGTTGTGTAAATTATCCATTAAATCCTATTTTACTTGTCCAGAGGGTTCAAAAATATTTTTAAATCAAAGTTACATTTGAAAAGCTTTTACATCAGGCTTTTCAAATCATTTAGTTGAATTTTTCCAATTTTTTTAAATTAGGTGTGTTAAGATGAAATTTGTATCATCAATTAATTGGAATATTGTAAAATAGTACAATTTGTTGATCAGAATAAAGATTGGGACATATTATTCAGTTACAACAAGAGTGGTATTGGGCCTTTAAGTACGTGAAATTTGAGTGAAGCAACAATTTTTCATAGAACCAATATTGTCTTAAGGACCAAAGTGCCTCACATGTCACTTTTATGGTAATTACGAATCGTTGGTTAAAATTTAGCGCGTGAATCACGTCACGAGTTATATTATTTATGTGTGTTAACACTCGGGTTTCAAACAAAAAAAATATATATACTATCACTAAAGTGTCATTTCCAGGTCTCCAATTCCTCATCGTTATTACAACCTTCGAATGCAGCATAGGCATTCTTCTTCAGGAGAGAGAGAGAGTTTGGTTTAATGTCCTACTGTTCTGATCCTACTGGTCTAACGAAGACAATAGCGCTATGGTCTACCCTTATTTCGAATTCCAACTGTTAAGGTTTTTTGTTACGTGCAGACCAAGGTGTATACGGGACCTCGGTTTTCCGTCCTATCCGAACGACTATACATTATCCCTTGCCAGATCCTACACCACTGACAAACTAGGACATTTCGGGACTAACACACGGTTCAATTTTATTTCAATAATTCGCTAGCGTGTAGGTGTCATTGACAGTGGGAGGAAACCGGAAGACCCGGAGAAAACCCACGAGGTTGGACAGGCTACCCATGTCAATAACAACCGGGGAATCGAAACCACGCCATTTGACTCAATGGCAGACATGATTATACAACGCGCACGCATTAACCATGCGGCCACACAACCCCCTAAGTAGCTACAATGAAATGAACTGAGCTAATAAAAACGGACTAATGACACTTTTATTTAGGGTGTTATGATAAATCGGAGACTTTCCCTTTAATGTGCATCGTCCCAAGACAGTTAGAGCTATTTGATAAGGGCAACTTTAAGTTTGGTCAAAGGTCACGAGATGTAAACGGGGCTAGCGCTAATCCCAACCCTAACCCTAACCCTGGACCTAGCCCTAATGCTTACCCTAACACTTTCGCCCACAATCACGTGGCCTAACCTTATTTACATCCCCGCAAAGTTGACGAAAATTGAGCTGGTCTTAACAAATGGATTTAACTGTCCCACGCGTGCCGCCGAAGTGGGGATAATTTTGACTGGAGCGATCGAGACATGGACGATGACGAATACGACCGTGTTGATCTGGACAATAATAAGGTGGGCGATGTGCTAAACGAATAATCCATTAAAACACCTGTTACTTTAAATGCACTCATTCTGTAAACTAGAAACGCGATACAATCATTAATACTTAATACCAGACAAACACTATTGTGAAAGTTTCAAATATACCAAAGTGAAATGTACCCCTCCTTGCTTCAGTGCGTAGGTTCAGTTGGTTAATCCATGGGATTAAAGGAAGACTAGGAGATTTACATAAATCAGACGGGTAGACTAAACACCTGACATACAACACGAAATGAAATGAAATGGGGTTTAACACCCTACTTGTTACGACAGAATTCACAATATTTTTAATTTGTTTATCCAAGTCGGTATTTTATAATATTATGATCCTTGTCCTTTTTTTAGATTAATTTATTTACGGTCAAGGTCGTATAGTTAACGAAGTCGCCATTGCTTGTTGTTCTTGAAAATGTAAAACGTATTTTCTGTGTGCCCTGTAGTTCCCCCCAAGATGTTAGTAAGCTTATAATGATTATATTTTGGTACGTAGATGTTTTCTGGTCAAGATTTATGTATAGTTATTTAAAGTTACAATTTCATATTCTTAAGGCATTCCTTCTCTCAAGGGAGCCACGGTGGCTAGGTGGGTAAGGCGCTGGCTCGCTAGCCTGGAGGTCGGGTGTTCGATCCCTGCCATTGGCCGAGAAAGTTCATCCCGATTTTCCGACGTGGTTTCCCCTTGTCAGTGATGCAGGACGGAGGGCCTGACAAGGACAGCTGTCTAGTCCTTCGGATGAGACGAAAAACCGAGGTCCCGTGTAAACATTGGAATGCACGTAAAAGGTCCCTTGGCAGTTGGAATTCGATATAAGAGTAGGCGAAAGTGCCGCTGCCCGGGCAAAATTTCTCTCATAGCACACTGAATGGCGTATGCCCGTCTTCATTAGCCCAGTATAGGAGCAGAACAGTAGGACGTTAAACCCCATTTCATTTCATTTCATTTCCCTTCTCTCAAATGAAAACAAAATGACATGAAAAGAAAATCACATGGTTTTGGTAGCGCGGGGTGGCCGATTGATATCACGGGTACGTTCCCTTTGTTGCATGAGGAAGTTCCATGGGATTTCCCAAACCAATCGGATTAAAACACAGATCCTATTTCGTTTCGTTTTTATAGTTCAAAAGTTTGTTTTACTTATCTTTACTACACTAAGATCTGTAAGAGTTGTTATCATTGACGTGTTCTGAATGATGTGAGGGAATAGCTAATGAAACGGTCTGTTATGGTGAGCTTTAGGTGTGTTTTGCACGGAACTGTGGGTAATCCACTAGTAACATCAATGCTGATTGGTTAATCATATGTCTGACTTCATAGGGTCAAAAGCCGCTTGTATGACCTCTGACGCGACCTGTCACTCAGACTAGGTCATTTCGGGACTAACATATGGTTTAATTTTATTTCAATAACTCGCTTGAGCGAAGGGGTCTTTAGCATTTGTAGGAAACCGGAGGACCCGGAGAAAACCCACGAGGTTGGACAGGCGACCCTACTCCTTGTCACATACAGCCGGGGCTTCGAAATCATGCCAGTTGACTCAATGACAGGCCTCATGATACAGCACGCACGTGCTAACCATTCGGCCATCCAACCCCGCACAAGAAATCTGTGACGAGTAGACTGTATGTTCCCCAAAAACGCATACACGTCTAGTGCTGACGGGTAAAGCGTTATTTTATTTCACAATAAGTCAATCTGAATGACTAAGAGAGAGAGCGAAATGGGGTTCATTGTCCACTCGACACAAACTAGGTCATTTTGGGACTAACAAATGGTTTAATTTTATTTCAATAATTCGCTTGCGGGTACGGGTCTTTAGCAGTGGGAGGAAACCGGAGGACCCGGGGAAAACCCACGAGGTTGGACAGGCGACCCTACTCCTTGTCACGTACAACCCGGGATTCGAAACCACGCCAGTTGACTCAATGACAGGCCTCATGATACAGCACGCACGTGCTAACCATTCGGCCATCCAACCCCCCTGAATGATTAAAATACAGATCTATATTTCGTTTCGTTTTTATTGTACTTTCGATGGTCGCGACTACATGAAAAGCTGAGGTCGCGCCAGGGGTCATGCGAGCGACTTTTTACCCTTTGGCATCAGACATTTGATTAACAAATCTGCGTTGATGTTTCTGGTGGGATACCCACATTTCCGTGAACTGCTCGCCAAGAACTCGCCGTAACAGACCGTTTCATTGGCTAATCTCTCACATCAACCAAAACGCGGGTTACATAACAACTCTTCCGGATCTTAGTGTAGTGAGGCTTGGGATGGCCTAGTGGTCTAGAGTGTCACCCTCTGGCTTGCGGTTGTGGTTTCGATCCCTGGTGTGATCGTATGTGGCTTGGAGATAGGGGCGCCTTCTCAACATCGTGAGTTTACTCCGGGTACTCCGGTTTCCTCCCACAGGAAAGACCCCTGCGCATGCGCTAAGATAATAAAAATGAAAGTAAGACAACTTGTCTGCGATATCAACCTCGGTTGAAACGGACGTTAAACACCAAGAAAAACATCTTAGTGTAGAAAAGGCAAGTAAAAGGAAATTTAAAACTTTATAAAAATCTATGTTTTAATGAGATTGCAATAAGTCTACATGTTAATGATAATTAATGGAGTTCTATGACAATCTTTAGAGCAAATTTACATAATAGAGCTTTGTATCTTGTGGCAATGTCATTATTGTTAGGTCTTGTCATTCCTCCTAATCGTCCGGAAAATTACAAAAAGGGTAAAACACAATAGTTTAATGTCACAGTCATCCAGCAGTGCGGTCATTTAATGTGTGAGATATGTCTGTCCAAGGTCAGCGGTAAGTGTTCGGCTACCCATAAAAATTAATCGTAATAATGGTATTAAAGGAACTAAATCGCTAATATTCTGGACCTAGAAATTGACACAAATGGGTCGGAATGCAAATAATAATGTATTATGAATGAATATAAACTGATTTACATTCAATCGTTTCTGTTTTTACTCTAATTTCTAATCTGTTAAGTTCGGCGAAATACGCTAGAAGTCTCAATCGAATACCAATCTCTAGCGTCTGGTTATTCCTGTCTACACCGATAGTATTTATTGCGTATGCTCTCCAGATAAGAATATGCCGTCACCGTTTGACATGACTTGTGGAACATGTCTAGCCTTCTTTCTTCGAGTCCCTTGTTACAAATGGCGTCAAAACGCATTATGGTACAGGATTAGTGTACCAATGGTAAAATTTTTATTTTGTCTTAAATGTTGGATATCAGAAGCCCATTTTTTCCCGGTAAGATCACAAAATCAATGTTGATTTAAATTGACAAATATTTTGTGTTTTAATGTCGAAGATTTTGGATGATATTGAGTTAGAGACTTGGCTACTTTAAGTGTCACCTTGTTGTAGCCTGTCCAACCTCGTGGGTTTTCTCCGGGTCCACCGGTTTCCTCCCACTGCTAAAGACCCTACGCGCAAGCGAATTATTGAAATAAAATTAAACCATATGTTAGTCCCGAAATGACCTAGTTTGTGTCGAGAGGACTTAAACCCCATTTCTCTCTCTCTCTCTCTCTCTCTCTCTCTCTCTCTCACCTAGTTCTAGTGCAATCTGACATGTCCAAGTATGAATGTTCGGCTTCCCATTTCAACGCAATATAGTCAATCACATACAGAGAGAGACAGAGAGAGAGATAGAGGGTTTAACGTCCACTCGACACAAACTAGTTCATTTCGGAACTAACATATGATTCAATTTTATTTCAATAATTCGCTAGCACGTAGGGGTCTTTAGCAGTGGGAAGAAACCGGAGGAAACGCACGATGATGGACATGCGACCCTGCTCATTGTCATGTATGGACAATAACATAAGGTAAATATAAATAGCTACATGGCACAGTAATATATGTTGTAACCTCTGTCGGGCTATTCGTTATTCGGCTATCAATTAAAGATACATTATGGGAGATTAGATAATGAGTTGGCAGTTCTCACTATAATAGTTAAAAACTAGATAATGTAAAGGCAATTTCCTGAAAATTTCATTCAAATTGCTCCACTATGAACCGAGATTGAAATCATCATTACCAAAGTCAGTACGATAAACAGCATAGTCTCGATTATCCATTTAATCATTAAATCGGTAAGGAAAGTTATGCAGTAAATCGGCCCATAATTCACTAAAGATCGCAGGCTAGCGATGGCATCAAGAGTTGATTATAATCTTGTCAAGTTAATAAATGTCTAATTAATAGTTTATAACATTTCAGGCCTAAAGAAAGACCTTCAATAGACAGATTTAGCTCTTGGATAATGTATGTTTAAGAATAATCCTGTCAAAATTCAATCTCGTGCTACGAATAACACCGGAGTTGCGTCCTTAAATTATAAATTTATTTGTTTTGAATCTTGTTGGGAATGATGATCGTTCGGCAAACTATAAGCATATGGCGGAGTAAACGCTTTATTTAGACTAAAACTATCAACAGATTTCCGGAAACCTTTTGAATATAACAGAAGTGGTTATCGAAATTCAGGAACTTAACACTCAAAGATTTTAGTATATTTCCTAAAACGTTTTATTGCTCGGTAATCAAAGAAGTGATTGTTGCTAAAATTCAGGAACTTGACGATCAATGATTTCAATATATTTACAGAAACGTTTTATTGCTTGGTAATCAAAGAAGTGGTTGCTGTGGAAATTCAGGAACTTGGCGGTCAAAGTAAATTGCTTGGTAATCAAAGAAGTGGTTGCTGTGGAAATTCAGGAACTTGGCGGTCAAAGTAACCAACTTCTCAACAGTGTAACCTGGAAATAAAAGTGGGTGTCGAAATTCAGGAACTTAACGGTCAAAAATTTCCAGAAAGGTTTTATTGCTTGGTCATCAAAGAAGTGGTTGTTGTCGAAATTCAGCAATTTAACGGTCAAAGTAACCGAATTCCCAACAGCGTAACCTTGCCATGTACAAAAGTTCCACAGAAAGGTTGTTTATATTTTAATTGTAGTAATCGGCCAGGTTTTCATGCTGTGATTATATTGCATGGGCAGCATGATGTTTCTCTAGCCACGTCAAAACACACATCTTACAGAACCATGTGTAATATTATAGAACTCTAATCATTTCCCTCAAGAATCGATACCCAAGGTTTTTTGGGGAATCAAAATGAAAAGTTGCACGCACACGTTATTCTGTTATGTAAATGATAGTCTGTGTTTTGTGATGATGAATAACAGAGGTTATAGAAACTTGACGAGAATTTTATTTTTCAAATAAATAATCTTCACATACATATTAAAGTATCCATTATGGGGTATATCGAGTCACTTCGCTATCTGAAATTAGAAAATTGGTTCAGATTGGAAGCATTATTAGGTAAAAGTTACGAATACTATTATTAGTTGGGGATTAACGTACGCTTTCAGCGCGTGTGGTGTCGCAGACTATTGTTCCAAAGAAATTTGCCAAAAGAGGTCACTTGTATTAGTGTTTACAAAGAAACTTGTACTGTAACGTTGGTATCGTTGACTAAGCAAAAAATAAATGAATCTAAACGACACTAATAGATCAAAGTCATCTGGGCCGTTTCTCGAAATGTTAACTAAAGATATAATCCAAATTTTAGTAGATACTTCAAGTTTAATTGGCTAAGCACTAAAATCAATCTTATTTTATCCAATCAAATTACTAAAATTTGGATTTTATCTTAGTTAAAAATTCGTGAAACAGACCCCAGTTTATATACATAATGTGTATTAGTTAGTTAAAATTGTTAGTAATCAGGCAGTAGTCATTAAGTAGGTGTTATGTCACTAATGTGTTAAAAATACACTACTATTGTCCAGGTTTGTGTATTCAATAGTGATGGGTGTTATAAATAGTCACGCCTTTACACCAGTTCTGACATCTTTTACAGCTAGTTACACACCTGCTAATTAATGACTACTGTATAATTACACACTTGCTAATTAATGACAACTGTATAATTTCTAACCACTTTCTATACATACCAACCACCTACAAGATTTAATGACAAAAATTGTCAACGGTATCAGCTTATCAGTGTTGCCAAATGAGCACGAAAAAGGAATTCGTTCTCCAGATCGACTCGGGTCCGAGGTGACGAAGGTAGGTGCTGCCTGACCCACGTCAGGTATTGAGACCAGGAACTTCTTCATTCTTGCTAGCTGAACCACCGCAGCCTGTAGGGTGTCCATAAAACCCTTAGTAACTTTGAGATTAATCATCCTTGAATTTAGGAAGGCCACCACATAGTCTTGCTAATGCTAGGCTCCCACTGTCGTGCGATGTTTTACGACAAGATTGTCCCAATTGAGTTCATCCTGTAGGTGCAGATACGTTCAGATACGTGCAGATATGATCAACCCGGTTGCTACGAATGACTTCAATATATGATAAGACTTGATAGGATCACGACGATTACTCCACGATTAAAACCACGATTTCAATCGTAGCACGAATCGTGATAATGGGAAGCTAGCATAAGATGTTAACGGATTACAATTGCGTATTTGTTCTTTTCTTCTGACTTCTACATAAACAATGTAAGATTCCTTAGATTACAAGACTTATTACGTCATTTGTGCCAAAAGGGGGCCCGGAACGTTGCGACTGAATCTCGTGATGCGGACTTTAGCTCCGTAACTGTTCTCTTAGCCACAGTATAATGGAAAGGGTTTGCGTAGAATCATGGCGTAATGAAACAAATTACTTCGTCCGAAAAAAAGGGCAATTTGTTGTGATTATCCAGTGTCAAAGGTCCCGAAACGTTCCGAATGAACATAATTGCAATCTAGTGATGGGGAATTTAGCCCCGTGACTGCTCGCTCCACTATAACGGTAGGGGTGTGCGGGAAATCATGGCGGGGTGGTGGGATGGCCTAGTGGTCTAGAGTGTCGCGCTTCGACCTCTAGCTGGCCGGTCACCTCTGGCTTGCGGTTGTGGTTTCGATCCCTGGTGTGAGCGTAGGTGACTTGGAGATGGGGTCGCCTTCTCAACCTCGTGGGTTTACTCCGGGTACTCCGGTTTCCTCCCACAGGAAAGACCCCTGCGCGTGCGCTAAGATAATAATAAAAAAAATAAGACAACTTGTTTGTGATATCACCTTCACTAAGAACAACAACAACAACAACAACAGAATCATGGCGTAATGAAACAAAATTCAGCTGTAATGATTGGTTATAATATTTTGGCACATGCGCTGTGAACCGAAACCCCCATGTTTACCCGATTTTCACTAGTTCTGTGAGACACACAGAATAGGCTGGTATACATTTTGGCGTTTGATTTGTCGTCTGAATCCCGAGTGTAACCACAATTGTCAAACGGGGTCTGCTACTTAAAATCTTTTAATCACAGAATCTGATACGATAAATCAAACGTTGGTCTGGTTTTGATGATTTTTATAATCATAAGAATAAAGGACGCTTCAAATAAAATAATCGAGAACAATCGTTTTATGTAGCCAGATTTCCCAGAGAACATAACTTCTTTGACCTTTAGTTTTGTCGCCGTTTAAATGGTGTCCACCTCAGAATAGAGTCAAGCTGGTTATAATTATTTAGGACCGACCCCGTAAATACATTTCAGATAAAACTCGACAACATTTATTTTGTAATAATCTAGATGTGATAAAATTACAGAACGTACAAAGAGCTGTGGCGCCTTTAATGTAGTTAATGTGTGTATTAAATGTTTATTATAAAGTTTTCCATACGGCGATTAGTTTAGCCGCCTTAAAAAGGAGAGAGGGAGAGAGAGAGAGAGGGACGCCCACTGGACATAAAATAATTTTATTTCAATAATTCGCTTGCGCGCAGTGGGAGGAAACCGGCGGACCTGGAGAAAACCCACCATCCTATTCCTTGCCACGTACAACCGGGTAATCAAAACCACGCCAGCTGACTCGATGACAGACCTTATGATGCAACGCGCACGCGCTAACCCCCCCCCCCCCGACTTAAAGGAGCTGAGTCTGTGTTAAGAGGGAATCGTAATAGGAGTACAGCGCTGGCTCACTTAGTTCCGAGTTCCATCCCTATGGTGACCGAGCAAATAATCGCGATTTTCCAGTGTGGTGTACCCTTGTCAAGGAATGGTATCTAGTTGTTCGGATGAGACGAAACATCGAGGTTCCATGTGTGTGTGGGGGGATCACGGTGGCTAGGTGGGTAAGACGCTGGCTCGCTAGTCTGGAGGTCGGGTGTTCGACCCTGCATTGGCCGAGAAAGTTCATCCGGATTTTCCGGCGTGGTTTCCCTTGTCAGTGATGCAGGACGGAGGGCCTGACAAGGACAGCTGTCTAGTCGTTCGGATGGGACGAAAAACCGAGGTCCTGTGTACAGATTGGCGTGCACGTACAAGATCCCTTGGCAGTTGGAATTGGATATAAGAGTAGGCCGTAGCGCCGCTGCATGGGCAAAATTTCCCTCATAGCACACTGTATGGCGTATGCCCGTCTTCATTAGCCCAGTTTAGGAGCAGAACAGTAGGACGTTAAACCCCATTTCATTTCCATGTGTGTGCACGTAAAAGAATCCTTGCCAGTTGGAATTCGATGAAATGATATGTAGGTAGAAACGCCTCTTTCCAGGCAACCCCTTCCTATTACACACTATCTTCATTATCCAACCTAATACGGAATAGTAGGCCCTCTGTCCAGCATCACTGACATGGGGAAACCACGCCGGAAAATCCCGATGAACACCTTTAAGTTAAACGCTCTGACGGAAACATGAAAAACGAAAAGAAACTAAGGTGACAAGGTGAGTGAGAGAAGCGCGGGATTTAAAATCTTATTTTGTATATTAAACTGTCTAGTCGTTCGGATGGGACGAAACACCGATGCAGTGATCGAACACGCGACCTCCAGACTATTGGGGCATGGCATCAGGACGTTAAAGCCCGAAATGAAAGAGGTCGCGTCCTTTTAATAACGAACTATGTTAATACGAACAGAAGGACCAAACTAGTCACAGATTGCCTTCCATTGTAACCTTTAACCGGGCCATTTGTTCGCTTTACACTGGACATGGGTCACTCTTTAGTTTTCATATTTACCTAGAACCAGCTGCGAATCACATTAAGCTACAATGGCTGTATTGTTGTGTTTTAATGATCTTCAGGATATGAGTGGGCGTATTTAGATAGACGGGGATAAAATTGGTATCATTAGGACATCCATCAGATCCATGACAGTACCCTAGCTTTTAATTAATACAGAGAAAACCACTCTTTTGTATTTTTCAGTCAGTTTAATTTTTTTAATAAATAACAATCAAACATCATGTTGAGTGGATTTTTTTTCTTTTACGTACCATTGACGGATATATGCTTCCGCGTTGCCAGTGTTGATTATTTATGGCGGATTTATTTTGACATTTTTCAATACGTCATTCATATAACCGGTTTAAAGATAGGTTCCCAGAAAAGTATTTATCGGGTGGTTATTTCCAATAAAAGTATGGTCATTTTGGTATATATGGAAAGTAGAGATATCCAATCTTACTAGAAAAAGACTGGATTCCCTGAAAAACACTCATGGAGCTTATACAGGACAAAAATGTAAGGGTTCCCCTAATCGACAGCCCGATGCTTAGGAATATCTGCACGCGTGACGTCAAAGGTTGCACGCGGAGATTGAGCGCTTGAAGTACATGTTGATAAACTTTATGAAGAGTTAGACGTACAACACTTTCTGAGATAAAAATCACGGAAAAAGACGCGGGCAGTTGATAATCCGAGAATTTAATTAGGCTTCGATATTTGTAATAAATAGTCAGCGATTAAAGACAACATCGTCTTGTGTATGCAATGATTTCTCCTCCGACTTCGCACCCGTAAGTCACGTGACACAAACATGACCTCTTTTGATCGATTTTTTATAGCAAAAGTATTCCTTGACAATTACAATGTTTTGAGAAGGATTTGGAGCAAATTTATGATAAATTAATTACATGTAGTTTGAATATGTTTTTAGGCCAAATATATCATGAAATCACCCAGTTTGTACACGGGAATGTATCTTTAAATGGTGTTGATTTTGACCTTAAGAGGGATTACAATAAAGTCTTCAACGACCGACACTGATGGATAAAATCTGAACTAAATGTTAAGACCGTTTACGATTTAATCATATGTCTGTTTTAATTCAAATAAACAAATCTATGTTTGACATTTGCAAGCAGACACGGGGATAATCCGTCCAATAATTTAACATTTCTAGCTAATGTTTCTTATCATTAAGTTAATTATTGGGGCAGCCGGTGGATATATAAACCTTTGTTAGGAT